ACAATAAATTATGGCTATATGCCATCACAAAGAATGTGAGTGTCTTTATTAGTAGTGTATCAATTCACTTTTTGGTTATTTGCAATTGCACTTTAGCCTAATAGTGTCTTGAGAAAGCCACTATGAGGTAAACTACATTAAAAACAATGTGGTGTATTGCTATGGCTATAACTGTGGTCTAAGCATTAAGTCTCTCTGGACTCTGGTTACCTCAAATCTAATATAATAAAAAATCACCTGGGTTACTGATTCTGGCAGGCTGTTTCAATAAACAAACAAGCCATTGTTGTGAAAGTTTAGTATATCAGCATTTCTACAGGGAGGTGTTTTAGATGTCCTATTCTCCTGCTTTGTTCAGTGCAGTGGGGGCTACAAGTTCTGAAGGCAGAATCAGGGAAAATAGTGTATTTTGATTGGATTCAAGAACATATTGCAAGACTATAAGCACTATATTCAGTTTAAAAATTACAGGAAATTAAGGGCTGATGAGATGGCTCAGTAGGTAAGAGCACTTGTCAAGTCTGACAACCCCAGTTTGATACCCAGGATCCATACAATGGAAGGCTAGAGCTAACTCCTGCAAGTTGTTCTTGAACCGCTGCATTCCCAGCACCAAACACACACACACACACACACACACACACACACACACACACACAGCATGCGCCCGCACCACATGCACACACACAAAAAAACATGTAACTAAATAATAAAAAAGAAAATCTGTTAAGACGTTTCCTATGTTAAATTGTTTACAGACCTAGTATGTATGTATGTATGTATATATATATACATATATGTATATATATATATATATATATATACATACTAGGTCTGTAAACAATTTAACATAGGATACCTTGTATTCATTACAACTTTCATCATGTTACTTCTATGTGAACTTCCTAGTAGAGATGATCATTTTTAACTTATCTTTGCTATTCTGGGTGTAGCGCAGCTTGAGATGCAAAATACATTCTCAAGATGGATGAGTGGATGGATAAATAAATGGCAGTCATATGGAAAGCTATCCATTAGGAGAAGAATCATAATATATAGGACAATTAATTGTATATCACACAATGAAATAATGAATTACATATCAAAATATTTTCAATATGTAAACTACAATATATGATATTTTCTTTGGATGTAAACAGGAAAAATTAATTTTGTTGCAGGGTAGTAATAGGAATGCAAAGCTTTTACAAAAAGGCTGGTATCATGGCTAATCAATTAGTTGAAATCCAATTCATAGTTTAGAATCCAACTACATCAGACTACTACTGTTTATCTCAAACAAACACAACATCCTTTTGTAGATACAGTTGATTTCTAAAGATACATTTTTTATTGTAAAGAAAATTATGGCCCACATTAAAGAGATAAAGTTTTAATATGTTTGGAGAAAGAGTCGAAGAATTAAATTTAGGGTAAGAAATCGGAAAAACAGAAAAGTTAAGATTCCAGATTTCTTTCAAATGAAGTAAGTACAAGCAAGAGGCAAGAAACGCATTATTACTAGATTCTTCTACTCAAGCTGGGTGTGGCGGCACATGCCTATCAACCCTGCACTTGCTACAAAGAGGAGCTCAGGAGTAAAGTCAGCTTGAGCTGCATGAGACTGTCCGAAACTACAAAACAGTAGAAGTCAGCAACATTAAGGAAAGCAAAACCATTGCGAATAATAATTAATAAAATCTTGAGAAGGAGAGATGGCTCAGTGTTTAAAAGCACCGACTGCTCTTCCACAGGATCCAAGTTCCAGTTCTAGCAGCCATGCATTTACACACACACACACACACACACACACACACACACACACACACACACACTTACACACACTTTTACTATACTTCTGAGTGCTGGGGATAGAACCTAGGGTTTCACATATACTCAGCATAAACTCTACCACTGAGCTACACACCCAACTCTGAAAACAGTGCATACCTGAGATCTTAACTCTTGGGAGGCTGAGGCGGGAAGATCCTGTGTTCAAGCCCAATCCAAAAATTTAGTGATATTTTGTTTCAATAAATAAATAAATAAATAAATAAATAAATAAATAAATGTGCTAAAACTATTAATTATTGAAAATATTGTTTTAGTCAGTATTTACTATTAGATTTTCAAAGATTCATTTCTGGAACAAGCAATTTCCTCTAATTTTCCATTCTAATACAATGAAACTTGTTTATTAGAGTATAATTTGGTATAATATAGGTTATTTTAGATCTAGTCCAAGAGCACTTAGTTACCAAAGGTAAAAGGTGGCCTTTCTAATAAGGTGATCCAGTGGCTCAGATCCCATGAACATTATAAACTCCAACTGAGACATAGGAAGTCATTTTTGTAGCAAATGCATCTTTCCTGTATATTCTTTATTGTTTTATAGGATGGATATTTCACAAGACAGCTTTAGCTTCCTTACACATGCACTGTCTAATATAGCCTTACATTTTAAAAAATTATGATATATTTCATTAAAAATACTTCTTTACAAAAGCAATCAGTGCCTTTACCTGTGTAGATAGACAAGATTACCAAAAATTCATAAAAAAATCAAATTTCTGTTTAGCTCACTGAAAAAGCAAAGATTAAAGAGAGGTGAGGGAATTGTGTGGCATTCTAGTATAAAAATAATACTATTAGCTCCTGATCAACACAATAGCCAGTCCTTCAAGTGATGCCACAATGATCACCACAATAGCCAGTCCTTCAGGTGATGCCACAAGAGGCACTCTGCACAGAAACATCTATAAGCAGTTCTAAAAGATTACATACTTTGAGTGCATTTTATTATAAGTAGAAAACATGACAAAATCCTATTTTAGAAAAATGTAGAAATGGCTCCTTTTAAATAATTAATGTATTGAATAGAAAAATCATGAGAGAAATAAAGCCTTATGGAAACACAGAAACAATATCCAATATCAAAACCACATAATAATAAAATGCTCAGTAGGAATATAGTTAAGAGTTCTCATTAATTTCCTACACAATTTGAGAAAGCTTTAAGTGGATTGTCTAAAATTCTGCTATTGAGTCATAAAAAGAATCTACTTTCATGAACAATGGCCATTCTCCATCTGGTAGAGTTCATGGTGAATGGCCTATATTAGTATATATCTTCAACCCTTGAACAAATGCAATGTTAAATAATTTCTTCATGTATATTAAACATTTAAGACAAATTACTTGATAATTTCTATTACATATTTTAAAAAGTTTGAGTCTTTAACAGTTATTATTGCCAGCTGATTTGTCCATAGTCAGGGAAGACAGCAGAGAAGCCAGGGGGTGCCACAGAGGCACAGTGACCTTACTAATGACTGCGACTTGCTATGTGTTAGGTTCTCTTTTACATGACTTTCTATGTCTCAATTTTAACTTTGAAAGTATCTCTTGTTATCGCTAGCATAAATGGCCTACCTCTTACTCTCAAAAGTCCAGTAGCTTACTTTTAAGATGATCATCTTGTTCAGAATGATGATCTGAGGTGACCCTCTGATCTACTACAATGTTATCCTTATATAAAAATTTTCAACAGTTTTTGAAATACTGAGAGTTCGTGAAACACCTCTGAAAACTACTTAGTAGTGTGCAGAGAGTATTAGATTTTGGGAAAAAAATCATGTAGGGAAAAAGATGGTATTTGTGACTAAGTTGGGTACCTAACTGTAAAATGATTGGATGTTTCTCATGAAGTTTAACTGAGTGTGATATAGTACACTGTAAACACAGAGCTGGGAAGAGACAGGAGGACTGAGAGTTCAGGCTGGAGTGGAACACATGAAATCCTGTCTCAAAAAACAAACAAACAAACAAACAACAACAAAAAGGGAAAAAGGAGGACAACTTCAAAGATATTTAAAATATCAAAAATGTTTAAACTGAGCTGGGCGGTGGTGGCGCACGCCTTTAATCCCAGCACTCGGGAGGCAGAGGCAGGTGGATCTCAGTGAGTTCGAGACCAGCCTGGTCTACAAGAGCTAGTTCCAGGACAGCCTCCAAAGCCACAGAGAGACCCTGTCTTGAAAAACAAACAAAAAAATTTTTTTAAACCGCATCAGTTAAAATACATACCCTGGCTGGGTGTAGGTGGTGCCTACCTTTAATTCCAACACTCGGGAGGCAGAGGCAGGAGGATCTCTGTGAATTCGAGGCCAGCCTGGTCTACAGAGCAAGTTCCAGGACAGCCTCCAAAACAATACAGAGAAACCCTGTCTCGGAAAACAAAACAAAACAAAACAAAACAAAACAAAAAAACCATACCTGGCTTTCTAAGTCACTATACATACATATATATTCCCAGAATCTGACTCTAAGTTACTATTCATATATGCATGTTCCCAGAGTGTAGATAAGTCACCTCACCTTTTCTATACAATTGTATGCTTCATTTTAAGCATTTTGGAACAAAAACTGACTCAGAATAAAATACCAACAGATATTCCTTTAAATTACTTAAAGGGATTTGCAAGTCTTTATAGTATTAAAGTCCATGAAAGGCATGGTGCTGCCATGTAAGTATCAAGTCTGAGGCCTGGCCAGGATGGAGGCTGTGTTTCCATCTTTTACTGCACATTCTTTCCCAGGACCCGACTACTACCCTATCTATGACTTAAGATCCACAACAGGAGAAACGGCTTCTTTCAAAACAATGTAGAAATCACCTTCTAAATCCACAGATAAAATCCTTACTTGGTAAGCTGTCAATTCAAATTTCATGTACCAAATCTAAATGCTACCAAATGAAAGCAAATACATGCATACATGATAATTCACTTACTCAAAAGAACATAAAAATGTAATGACTGGGATTTTGACTTGATAATAAACCATGCAGAGTAGCTGAACAGCTTATGAAATTTCAGTTCAGGCTGGACACAGCTCAATGCTAGAACATCTGATTAGCATGTGAGGCCCGGGGCTTGATCTCCAGCTGCCCATACACACACTACCCTCTCTCAATTCAAATCACCATAAAAATCCAAATATCCATTCAGTGGATGTAATTTTGGAATGTCAGAGGTGACCATTTTTTATAAACATTTTTGATCAGATATACAGTTTTAGTTTCTAAAACTTTCACACACTCAAAATTCACACTAGATTCCTGTTCTTTAAGGGAACATATTTCAGAGACTGCTTTATATATGTGTATGTGGATATGCAACATCTGCTTATTTATTAAATTAACATACCAAGTTTCCCATCTTAATAGTTACAGAATTAAAACTTTATAGCAGAATGTATCACATCTTTGGCACTGCTAGGATCTGTGTATTATTTCTGTATGTGTGTACATGTATATGTGTACATGAGTGTGTGTGTACATGTGTACATGTTGTGGTCTGTGCATATGTGTATGGAGGTCAGAGGTTGAGGCACATCACTGTCTATGATGACAGTGAAGCTAAAAAATTAGAATTGAGTTGATATTTTGAGTATTTCAAATGGCATTCTATAACTGCATATAATTTTATTTTTGATATTTTAGTTTTAGAAAACAAAAAACCCTCCAATTTCAATGAAATATGCATACTCTTTCCTTTTGTTCTGTAACAAGCTAGTTCCAACCCATTTTTTTTTTCTTTTGACTTTGAAACAGGCCCAGAGCCTGAGTCTTCCATGTGCTGGGAAAGCAGCTGTGTGCACTATGCCCAATCGAAGGCAGTTTAAAGAGACAGCAAGCTTTTGGAGATAAACTATGATTTCTAAAAAACATCTTGTATAAATTTGAATTAAAATATACAGTATCATTTGGCTGAAGTGTGGCTAGATTCAACTGAGATTAATCTTTGTATATGAGTATGAAGTCACATTAAGTGAACCATAAAATATGAGTAATTGTGTGAAACTGGAAATGCACCAGGAAACTAAATATTAGAGGAAAGTACTTTGTATGGATTACTTAATTAAAACTCTAGAATAAAACTTGTATTTCTGAACATAAAATAGACAAATCTGACAATGAATTAACAATGAAAATATATCCAAGGAATTAAAATTACAACATTTACCTAATGTATAAATTATTTACACAAGGAGGCTTAACAAAATCCTGACAGCATTACCTAACATCAGGGAGCCCCTCCCACTACCGCTCATAGATCCTCATGTCTATGCAGGAGTTTCCCAGCTCTAATTTGCTTATACAAGTTGTCAGCTTTGTTCTCTTCCACTGGCATGACTCTGTTCAACTTTGTGCCTGTGCAACCTCTGACTTTCATTTCTGGCTGAAGTCAGTTACACTTTCAAAAAGGTCTTCAGATGAGAAACAATCTGAATTATTACTGGATCTATCAGTTTCAACTGGTTCACTGTTTTCTTCATCAGTATCAACAGGATCAAAGAGTTCAGGTGTGAGGCTCAGGGAGTCATCTCCTGCTTCTGTTTCTATAGCTGCGCTTGAACTGGAACGGTTGGCATCTTCACTTACTGGAGACGACTCAGTACCCGGATGCACGTCTTTCTCAGAGCAGAACAGCTGTTTGGAATGGTTCTCAGCAGGAGTAATGTCAACCTTCATCGACGATAAGCTTTCTGACTGAGGGCAAGGTGCGAATGGTGCATTCACTGTTTCCTTTGAGGACACGCGTTTACCTGTGTGTGGCAAAGCAGTGCTGTCTTCTGTTTTTTCTGTTTTGAAGGTGGAAGAGCCAGAGGCATGGCTCTTTGATGACCCGAGCACAGGTGTCTGATTCTTTACTTTCCTAGTAAAGTGCTGTCTCAGGGACTTGAAGACAGGCCAGCTGACTGGCTCTGTTTGCTTCCCGAAAGTTGGGCTTGAGGATCTGGAAATGACATTTTTCTCTGTTTTCATTGTTTGAACAGACTCCTCTCTTAGTACTGGATCACCTAAGAAAATAAAAACTTGAATTAGTGTTAACTCTGTGCTCCCTGGTAACATCACCTATTATGGTAAAATGGTTTGTTCTTAAATTAGAAATACTTTTTAACAGCAGTATAAAATACACAGTCATCACCTACCACCAGCAACATTGAACTTTCATCTTAGAATTTAAAGGAGAGACTGTCAACTCTAAAGAAGCAGTGGTTTTCCAGTACTTCCACAGCCTGAGTTATAATGCTATGTGCAAATGATCATATAAACACTATGGAGACCACAATACTGCACAAGAAGAGGAAGGGTAAAAAGGAAGAAGTGACCAAGTGGAGAGAGAAAAGGCCGTTGTCTTGTGAGTCCTGCAGTGTAGAGCACTGGCCCAGCATGTGCCAGACTCCAGCACTGGAGAGGGAGAAGAAAAAGGAGAAAGTTGCCATAGAAATCCACTAATGAGTGACCTATTAAAACACTAGTCCTCTTATTTGAAAAGCAAGGACACAGATGGTTGCAAGGCTATGTGTGCTATTTCTCAAATTATAAAACTGGTCAGCACACAGGACCAGAACTGGATCCTGGGGTTCCTAGTTACCACTGTAACAGCCCTGAAGTCACTCTAATGTTTATTTAAAGCACACAACACAAAAAATTTGAAAACAGGTATATTAAGCTATACTGATGATTAAAAATAAAATTATACCCAATCCAGAGTCTGGCTTTTTTTTTTTCCTGTTACAGGCCAGATGACAAATATTTTAAGTTTTATGGTCCATATTATGTCTACTTCCACTATTTAGGTAGGTTATTCTAGGATAAAAATACAATTACTCAACTTTGTTGTTTTTAGATTATGTAAACAAATGAGTATGACCTAGTTGCATTAAACTTCAAACATAAAACAAGCCAACAGGATGGCCAGGGTTCAATCCCCTAATAGAGTCCTGATGATTTCTTTCTTTCCTTTTTTTTTTTTTTTTTTTTTGGTTTTTCGAGACAGGGTTTCCCTGTGGCTTTGGAGGCTGTCCTGGAACTAGCTCTTGTAGACTAGGCTGGTCTCGAACTCACAGAGATCTGCCTGCCTTTGCCTCCCAAGTGCTGGGATTAAAGGCAGGTGCCACCACTACCTGGCTTGAGTCCATGAATTCTAACATGTTAAAACATTATTTCTTATCATTTAGAATAAATGACTCACATTTCAGGTTCAAATAGGGAGCAGTCCAAAATGGGACCTTCCAATTACAGAGCCTTGCTGCAGCTAAGGCTGGCTGGCCTTGAGATTTTTCTTTTTTAATTTAATAATTCTGTGTTACTTTTATTCCTACTTCTAAATTTTATACTTATTTATTGTGTATATGGTGATGGGGTACATGCACACCAAACTTGCAGGAGTAGGTTCATTCTTTCCAGATTCTAGGGATCAAACTTGTCACATGACAAATACCTTTACCTGCTGAGCCAGTCCTGGCCTGGAATTCCTGATTCTCTTACCTCTGCTTCCAGCATGTTGGGATTATGGGGTTACAGGTCTGTTCCACGATACCCAGTTTAGCTCAATTTTTTTTTTTAAAGCCTTTAAAATGATGTCTACCATTTCTATAATTTTTTTTGTTGTTGGTTTTTCAAGACAGGGTTTCTCTGTACTGTTTTGGTGCCTGTCCTGGAACTCCCTCTGTAGACCAGGCTGGCCTCGAACTCACAGAGATTTGCTTGCCTCCTGAGTGTTGGCCGGGCAGTGTGTACTACCACTGCCCAGCCGAGTATTTTATAATGTTATCTTTATTATCTTATTTGAGTTTTACAATCCAACTAGGTGGGATAGGTAGGCACTTTTTCTATTATAACTTAAAAAGGTCAAGTAGTTTATTCACAATTACAATGTTAGGTAAGTGGCAAAGCTAATGGAAAACCAGAAAATACACTTTGGTATTCTAACAAAAGTTTGTTCCCATTCAAACATACTGTATTATCTTATGAACACTTCATGTTAATAACCAACATATTACAAGAAATTAACCTGTACCCAAAACATTATCATTTCCTTAATATATAATGAAACTGAAATGGGCAGAATTCAACATACTTTTCTTCCTTCTGGGGATGTCGTGACTCGGCACTGATGGGTTTTTAGCAGTCATCTGGGGACATTGCAGCTCCTGGACACACAGTTTTGCTTCTTCTTCTCTAGAATTTTCTGGCGATAGATGACTTGCTTTTGACACACCTGTAAGAGTGCTATCCTCCAAACAGGCCACGTTCAGGGTAGACTCCTTGTCTTTCTTGGATCTATTAGTAACTTTCTGGTGTCTTCTAGAAAACTCAGTCAGGGACTCCAGGGCACTTGCAAAGGTTGAGTGGTGCTGAATCTGTTGCCTCACCCATTTAGAAAGTCCTAAAATACAGTGGATCCAAGTGAGAAACTGGTTAGTTAGTTACCAAAATATTTATGCATTAAGATTAACTTTACTATTTCTAGTGAAACAATTTAGTTTGCATTTGAACATATGGAATAGTTTTCAATCTTTTATTCTATATACACATACATGTAATAATATGAACTATGAAGGTATCATGGCCTGAAAAATGCATCATTAGTTTCAAAATACTGAAAGATAAATATGCAGGCAATATACCTAACCCATCCACTCCGAGTTTAGCCACAAAGGGAGCTGTAGAGAACCAGCGGTCGCTGCTGAGGTCATGGGACACACTGGGGGCTGCAGCTCATTGCTGGTGCCAGCATCTCAGACACAGTGGTCATCAGCTGGGCAAAGAGCAAACTGCTTTGAAGTGCAGTTTCTGCTGAATGTCTGTTGCTTTCACAGCACTGTACATTGAATCACTGTAAGTTGAAAGTGTCTATAAATTTAGTTTTATCAAAATTCCTCAAAATTGGGCCAGTGGGTATAAGTGATCATGTAAGCCTGACGACCCAAGTTCAACTCCTGGAACCCATGTAAAGGTGGAAGGAGAAAGTGACTCTACCAAGTTGCCCTCTGACCTCTACACATGCACCAGAGCGCCCTCACTCACACTACATCATACATGCTCCTGTACAACAATAATGAATGAAATTAAATTAAAAATCCCTCAAAGTCTGCCTATTAATACCATGCAGGGTAAGAAGCTGTAAATAACACAATTTTCTATGCCATCAATCTAAATTTATTTCCTTTTCCAAAAATAAACTCAAGATTACAGTCTCAAAAGGTTTTCTTCTTTTTTTTTCTCCCATCCTCCACTGGTTCCTTAAACTACTCTGGGACTGGAAAAAGCAACACTTTCCTGGAGAAAATCATGTCTATCGAATTACTATTTATTTACACAATAATGAACACAAGAGATATGACTCTGATTGGGGCATGTTAAAATGAAACTGGATAAAATTAACCACATTAAGAGCTTAAGGTGTTTTGTAATATGGTTAGTTTTACACCAAAATAAATAACATTTGGATCTAAAAAATACCTGGATTATCATAAAACAAATATTCCCTGGATAACGCTGCAAAAAAACAAAACAAAACAAAGAAAAACCTGGCATTGTCTTTTGGAACAATTAGGTTTTTAAAAATCATTTGTGTATCTACTCGAGCGCCTGTGCATGTGCAGCACACACAGGTGGGTGTGGCTTGTGAGCTCATGAAGGTCAGAGGACAATCTGGGTGTCTCCTGTCTTATTCTCCACCTTATTTTTTTGAGACAAGGTCTCTCCTTGTTCAAGCTAGAGCTCACAATTTTGGCTACGTTGGTTGGATAAGCAAGCCCCCAAGACCTGCTTATATCCTTCCTGCATTTCTGGTATTACAATGTATGCAACTGAAGCTTGCTTTTACTGTATGCTGAGAACCTGCACTCGGGTCCTCATGCTTGAGCAGTAAGCATTTTTATCCACTCAGCCACCTCCTCAGCTCTGTAACACATAGCTTACAAAGTCACCATGCTTAGAGAAGATAAAACAGGGCTACATGTAGCCTATATTATTAAACTGTGATTTCAAGTACATTTCTTTAGTTTTCTTAAAATGGAATTTTTCTGAGTTACCTATGTAGGAAAATTAAATTTAAACAAAAAGTTGCCCTTGAAACAAATTTATGCATCATGTTAGTATTACCAAAGTAAAGAGACATTTCATAATTTATGAATGTCTGAAAATTAAAATAATCCATAAATTTGGGAATATTTGATTCTAAAACATTAGTAAATCTAAGTTATGAAATAAAAATTCGCTTTTAGTTTAAGAAAAGCACTAACGTTAACTTTATTTTGAAAAAATGATTGTACCAAATGAAAATGTAAAATTCTCTAAAACTGAAAAATTTTAGTACTATCATTTCTTCATGTTGATTTTTTTATAATCAAAGAAAGTCTTTTTAGGAAAATGTCATTGCTGGCCTTTGAACACTCGGCAGGGTCTGAGCTCCACCTGCTGACTAAACACTAGTACTTAGTATTTTTGCTTTCAGTTACTGCTTAATCTGAGCTTTGTTTAGACCAAAAAAAAAAAGTAGGGAAGAAGCCCTAAGAGCAATATGCTCTGCTTTAAACCTTGACAGCAAGTACATTTCTGGCACTGTCACTGCTGAATGAAAACCATAGCCTGTAAAGCCTGTTAAATGACCACCTACTTATCTTTCTGCCCACTGGCACTTTATTTCCTTTTAAAAAGTACTTGCTTTAACTAACATGTGTAGCCACTTCTTGCCTTTGAACCTGTAACAGTGGCCATACTGGTTTGGGCATGGTACAGGTGCAGACATGACCCGTTTAAGGTAGAGGAGCAGGGGACAGAGAACCCATTGTGTCTCGGAGAGCATGGGGAGGCAGGATCTGCAGCCTTGGAGCAGGAATGCTGTGACAGTTACTTATTGTTATCTGTGTAAGTTCATCCCCAATAAACACCTATTTATCATTCATCTTGGTTTGGCTAATTCATCATAACTCTACGCCTTCAAACATGAACTTTATTTTCTGTGTATGCATATTGTATATACATGTGCACACCTGCATGCATGCTAATGTGTGGATTCTGGAGATTTAAGTTAGGTAACTTCCTCAGTTATATTCTACTCTATTTTTTGAGACAGGCTCTCTCCCTGAACTATAAGCTCCAGCAAGCTCAGCAACCTGTCTGCCTCCCTTCCCTACAGCACAGGAGTTATAGAAGTGCTCCCCTGAGCCTGGCTTTTATGTGGGTGCTGGAGATTTGAACTCTGGCCCTAATGTTTGCATGACAAGCATTTACCAACTGAGCCATCTCCCTAGCCCTTTAAATAAAACTCAGAAGAATGGAATCATATTTAAAGAAACAAGTAAATAGATACAATAGCAAACTTGAAAATTAATCAGTCAAGTAGCCAAGAGATGTAATTACAAGTGAAAAACAATATTTATTGAAAAATTAATTTTTGAGAAAGAACCTTTTGACAATGATAAACAAAGTACTGCTACATTAAATTATGAACTACATTCTATAAAACTAAAAAGTAATAATTGATTTAAGAGTTGATGACTAAAATTTTTTTACTCATGAAGAATTTTTATAAACACATGAGAATTCAAAGACTAGCTTTCCAGTTAGTGGAAATTGTTCATGTTTGATCTCGTGATTCAAATTCAAATTCTAATTCTTCACTTTTAAAAATGAAGCTATAGAGGTCTGGCGAGATGGCTTAGTCAACACAGTGCTTCTTGACAAATATGGAGACTTGGATTTGGTCCTTAGGACTCACATAAAAAATCTGGGAGTAGACCCAGTGCTGAGCAAGTGGAGCAGGCAGATCCTGGGGACCTTGTGGCTGTCAGCCTAGTCAACCAGTGAGCCCCACAGAAAACAAGCTGATGGCTCTTGAGGAACCATGCATACGCACACACATGCACTTGTATGCCCCCCCACACACACACACAGAGGAGCCATAAAATATAAAAAGTTTATGATGGCAGAACAGGAAACCCCAGATCCCATGCTCCTCCTATAGAAGCATGGATCCAATAATTCATGGGCCAAGCCCCTTTATGAGAAACCCAGAGACAAGTTAAAAAGTTCTGGAACCCAGGCTAGAGCAAAAACAATTTTATCAAAGCAGGCAGGAAAATGTGTGGAACCTTCTCACCAGAGACAGTGCCACAAGACGAGGAGAGACATCTCTGGAAAGAAGAGTAGAGAATGGCCACAAAGTCCTGAAGCATTTGCTTCTGTCCTCTCTGACTTGAAGTGCTGGCAGCAGGCCGTTGCTGCAGAACTACAGTACAGGCCACCGAGGCTGCTCCAGCTTAGCGGCACTTCAGCAAAGAGAAGACTAGTGTGTAATGCATGCCCGCTTTTAAGTGAACTGCCTAGGACGGGATTGTCTTAGTCTTTAGGGAGCACTCAGTGAACTGCCTAGGACGGGATTGTCTTAGTCATTAGGGAGCACTCAGTGAACTGCCTAGGATGGGATTGTCTTAGTCATTAGGGAGCACTCAGTGAACTGCCTAGGACGGGATTGTCTTAGTCTTTGGGGAGCACTCAGTGAACTGCCTAGGACAGGATTGTCCTAGTCATTAGGGAGCACTCACATCACATTCTCCATGCCTAGAAGCTACTGAGAACAAAAGAGTTGGATGGGAAGCATGGTGTTGCTTAAGACGCCTCACAACACAAGAGACAGAGAAGCACACACAACAGGCTCTGATATCTAGGGAGAAAAAGGGACAAAGAAAGAAACTGCAAAGCTCTCTAATTAGGTATCCACATAGGGAATGCAGAGAAACTAGATCCATACAGAAGATCAGAGGGGCTACGAGCTGCCTAGCAGGGCTGATGAGTGAGGGTATTTCTGTGTGAAGCTGCTGTAGTAAGAACTATTAGAGGTGACTTTTGTCAAATGTGTGTAGAGATCAATTACAACATTACAAAGACACATGGGACATAGCCCCATCATAGAAACAAGCTAACTTTGAAGGATGAGAGCAGGAGAGGGGGAGAGGAACAAGTGAAAGTATGAGAATTAATCAACAACAAAAAAGGTTCAAATTCTGGAGCTGAAACATTCACTCACTAGAAGGGCTAGACCACAGATCTGATCACGCAAGGAAAACCTTGGGTTAAGATGATCTGCAATTACATGGTTAGATGAGAAAAAAAGAAAAAAAAAGAAAAAAAAAGTGAAGCAAATCTAACGGAATAATGGGACAACCATTAAGCAGAACAGGGTATTTTGGGACTCCTAGAAAAGGTGAAACAGTTAGGAAGCTTATTTATAGAAAAGTGAAAGAAGGATCAGGGATTTGAGACTAACCTTGGCTACATAACAAGTTTAAAACCAGGCTAAGCTTCATGAAGCCCTCTAAAACACAAAATAAAGACAGATGCATTCCTTTAATTAGAGCACTCTGAATGCAGAGTTGGGTGAGTGGATCTCTGTGAATTTGAGACCAGCCTGTTCTACATAGGGAGTTCTAGGCCACTCAGAACTGTAGAGTTAAGATCCTGTCTCAAAACAAAAACAAATAAACAAACAAAAAAAGTTTAGAGATGCAAAATGGCTTCATGCTTGTAATCCCAGTATTTGGAAAGCCAATGTAGAGAATACTCTTTCTTTAAAAAGGGATAAATTAAAATAAAACAAAAGATAGGTCATAGTCAAATTGCTAACCACAAAGCAAAAGAAAATTTAAGAGCAGCAAGAGAAAAGCAATCCATCATATACAAGTAAACTTCCAAAGACTGTCAGTGGATTTCTCAGGAGCACTCTTACAGGCTTCAAGGGAATGAGATGATATATTCAAAGCGATGAAAAGAAAAGCCCCAAACTACTAACTAGGAATGCTGTATCTGGCAAAACTGTCCATCAAAATGCAGGTGAGATAGACTTTCTCAGACTACAAAGGCTAAGGGAGTTCATGACTGCTAGATCTGCTTTATAAGAAGTGGTAAAAGGAACATAATAGCACGTGAAAGTGTAGCTTGCCCATAGAGGTAATTATACAGTTACCAAATATTTAAGTACAGAAATGACACCCCTCCCTTTTTCCAGTGCTGAGAATTGAAGCCAGGACCTATGCAAGCAGGGACATACTTGACCACTGAGCTATATCCAAGCACCACAAATCACTTTTAATTTTGAGACAGAATCAAGATAAAAGTATACAAAACAATAATTCATATAAAATATGTAGGTAGATACATAATTTAAAAGGGTAATTTGTGACTTTAACACCAATGTTGGTGACAGAAAAGTAAATATTTGGACAGGGGAGATGGCTCATTGGGTAAAGCACTTGCTATGCAACAGTGAGGAACAGAGTTTAAATTCCCAGAACTGATGCAAAAGCCAGATGAGTGATCCCAGTGCTCCTATAGGGATAATGGGAGGCAGAGAGAGGAGAATCCCTTGAAGCCTTTGGTCCGTAACCTAGCATACACAGTGGGATAACAAGAGAGATCTTGTTTCAAACAAGGTAGAAAGTGAGGACAGATATTCAAGGGTGTACTCTAACCTCTACACATGCACCATGTCATGTGTGTGTGCCCACGTTCATGAATCACCCCCACACACACACACACAAAAGCAAATGTTTAGTAAAGTGACAAGTGCTGTGTAGTAATTTCCTCAGAGATAAAACCTTCCATCTTGGAAGGAAGCTCATTAAGATATGATATGTTCTAAAGTAGTGGTTCTCAACCTGCAGTCATGACTCCTTTGTGGGAGTAGAACACCCCTTTCACAGGGTTACCTAAGATCACTGGAAAACACAGATATTTACATTATGATTCATACCAGTAGCAAAATTACAGTTATGAAGTAGCAATGAAAATAATTTTATGGTTGGAGGTCACCATAATATGAGAAACTATTAAACATTAGGAAGGTTGAGTGTTGAGGGATATTTGATCACATTGTGTGAAGATGTGTTTATCCTTCCTCACCTGCCTAAGGCACCTTCTGATTGGTTTAATAAAGACCTGGATGGCCCATAACTAGGCAGGAGAGGCTAGGCAGGATTTCCAGACTGTGAGAGGTGGGAGATTTGCCAGCAGGAGGCTAAGGAAGTTGGATGTACTGTACTGAGGAGAGGTAATGTGCCACATGGCAGCACTAGATTAATATAAACGGGTTAATTTAAGTTTTAAGAGCTAGTTGGGAACAAGCCCAAGCTAAGACCAAACTTTCATAATTAATAAGAAGTTTCTTTGTCATTATTTGGGAGCTGGTGGTCCAAATAAAGTGACTACAGTTGAGAAACACTGTTCTAAAGGGAGATAAAAGATTCCATCCACTCCAGAAGTGAACAACTCAAAGGCTTCTCAAAGTTCCTGAAACTGACCAGATACAACAGCTTCCTCCTTCCTTAAGTATATATAAGCAGTAAGGACTGCTGCAAAGTACTCAGAGCAGCCAAGCTGCCTGGAAGAGGCATAGCCCAGCTGAGCTGCTTGAAGAGGCAGAGTCCAGCCAATGTGCTTAGAAGAGGCTCAGACCAACTGAGGCACCTGGAAAAGACATTCTCCAGCCTGTTGAGCCACCTGCAGGCTATACAGTGTGCTCCAGCTTTTGTGTAGAAATAGAATAAGAAAAAGAGGGGAAATCTTCAAAATATTGATCCCTTCATAAATATCTGCTGGCCTAGAATTTACATATGATCCAGTGACTTCATTTTAAGTATGATAAAGTGTCCAACCACTCATGCTCACTGTAATCCCCAACAAGTAGAAACAATCTAAATGCCCACTTAGAGATGAACAGAGAAATACGCCCAGCACAAACTGTATTATTCAGCCATAAATAATAAGCAAGTCCTGTTGGATATTTCAACATGAATGAACCTTGAGGATAATATACTAGTGAAACGTGACAGTCCCAGAAGGACAGACACTACATGACTCAAGTTTACTTGCATTGTCGAAGCCGCTGAACTCAAAGGAGAAATGGTGGGTACCACTGTATGGGGGAGAGCAAAAAGATGGTCAATCAGTATAAAGTTCAGTTTTAAGATTACAAATTCTGGTGGCTCACGCCTTTAATCCCAGCTCTCAGGAGGCAGAGGCAGGCGGATCTCTGTGAGTTCGAGGCCAGCCTGGTCTCCGGAGTGAGTGCCAGGATAGGCTCCAAAGCTACACAGAGAAACCCTGTCTCAAAAAAAAACAAAAAATAAGATAAAATAAAATAAAAAGATGGGTGTTGGTGGCGCATGCCTTTAATCCCATCGCTTGGGAGGCAGAGGCAGGTGGATCTCTTTTGAGTCTGAGGCCAGCCTGATCTACAGAGCAAGTTCCAGGATAGGCTTCAAGGCTACACAGAGAAGCCCTGTCTCAAAAAACAAAGCAAAACAAACAAAAAAATTACAAATTCTGCCGGGAGATGGGGCACACCTTTAATCCCAGCACTCAGGAGGCAGAGGCAGGCCTGATCTATAAAGTGAATTCCAGGACAGCCAGGACTGTTACACAACAAAACCCTGTCTTAATAAACAAAACAAACAAGAAAAAGATTCCAAGTTCTACAGACATAATACACAATATTCTTTATAGTTAGTACTATATTACGCACAATTATATCACACAAATAGGCAGATTGTATGAGGCTTTTTCTTTCTTTTTTTTTTTTTTACCACTAAGAAAGAACAAAGCCTGTTAGTAATTCTTACTCTGACCTGAGAATCTTACCTGATATATAGCGGTTTGGATTGCTGTTGAAACGATCGTCCACCAGAATAAGAGCTCCCCAATCATTTTTGTGTCGAATACACCTATGAAAAAGGGGAAAATAAAATGTGTATAAAACATTGAAAATAACGCCAGATTTCCAGAGGAAAAGTTAAGAAAATGGTGTATCAGCTATGCATTACTGTAATCTATTCAGTCTGTTAAGTCATTTAGCTCCTCAACTGATTTTCAGTATTAAAAATGTGATGACATCTCTGCCTGCCATTCTTTCTTTTCTCACTCTGGAGTCTGGCGTTTTTACTCCTTCACTGAGATGGGATTTTGAGGGAATGAAGACAATAAATGTTCAGCTTTTACAACTTAGAAATTTTAATTTCATATGACACTCTTCTTTGACATTATGTTAAAGTAAGCTACAGATTCCAGGACAACAGATCATATAACATAAGGCAGAACAGGAAGAAGTTATATACTGTCATTATTCTAGAAGGGTGCTGAAAACCAATAGGAAGTCAGGGAAATCTATTTTGGGTTCACTTTGTGTTTAAAGTGGATTTTGGTAGAGAGGTATTTAAATTAATAAATCATTAAAAAGAAAAAGGATTCATCTTTTCCACTGTTTTTACTGCCTTGCTCACATGAATCATGCTTGCTTGAGAAATGATACTGTACTTCAAGTGAAGCAGACGGTGAGAAACTCTTACTTGTGACTTAGCTGTAAAACCATCTGGTGTATTTTTGAAGGCTGTTATTATATTCCACAGACTTTACTACTCCAGATAACTATAATGCCCATGTAGGCTTTAGAAGAGATGACAATGAGGGGTTGGAGAGGTAACTCGGGTGGTAAAGTGCTTATGGGGCAAGCATGAGGACCTGAGTTCAGATCACCAGAACCTAATTAAAAAGCCAGGGTTGCAGCACACTCCTGCAACCCCCGAGCTGAGGGGCAGGGCCAGGAAGATCCTGGAGTTCTCTGGCTGGTCTGTCTAGCTAACTGTAAGCTCCACATTCAGTGAGAGAACCCTCTAAAAGACACAGTGGGAGTGACAGAGGAAGACAAGTACTGCTGACCTCCACGTAGCCTATACCCTCATGCTCCCTGATGTGCATGCAAGACATTAAAACAAGTGATTGGTTTCTGTTCATTCCAGTTTTCTGCATGTGTCTCTCATAAGAGTGCTTCAAAGTACAAACACCTTTATATCAATTAGCACTCATGATACAAAACATTCATTTCATTGTTATTTTTCCATTAAAAACATAATTATTAAAAAATATGTTCTTTGTGACAAATTGCCATTTAATGATAGTGTCCCCGAAAATCAATAAATGACAATACAACTAATAAAATATCAAAGGTACAGTATTGTGTGCTGATATTTCAAATGCACGACTTTTGTGGTACTTTGGAAAAACATACTTTGAATCTCTAGAAGTTGGCTAGCAATGCAGAATGTGACAAAGCAGCAAACTTTACATTTTTCTTCATTTGCCGAGCAATTCAGAAGCATCCATGTCAAGCTGAGACACAGGAGTTTGGTGAGAATGCAGTGTATACATATGCCGGGAAGGGACACATACACATAAACAAGATGATAAAATATATGCTACAATAGAGAGCATGTACATAATCTGGGTTTACCAGGGTATAAACAGCTCTAGGTGAAGAAACAGAAGGGATCCACATAGCACACGACTCCAACCAGGTTGTAACTGTCACTATGCCATATGAATAGCACGGAAGCTTATTACCAAGGCAGAAAGGGCATGCCAGAGTATGGTAGGTTTCATGGTGAGAATGTTAGTGGATAGAGGTAGATGAAAAAGCAAGTTTGTGGTTTTAAAAGTGTAGGTGGGGCTACAATGTGAAGGGCCAATTAATAACTATCTGACCACAACCAGGTAATTTAGTTTCAGATTAACCAGTTTGAAAATGATTAAGAAAATTAAATTATGAGGTTCCAACTTGCACTGCTATTAGGTATTATTCAACTGAAGAATCAAACATGGTAATATGTGGAGTTTATAAATCATAAAGAATGCAAGTGAAATTTGTACTTCACAAGTTTTCTTGAAGTTCAATGTGTTATATTAATATACAAAAATCAACAGAGGTAAGATTACTTAATTTTATAAAAATAAGTATAACAAGTAAAAGCCAAGAATTTATAAAATATATATTCAAACTTTCCTAGGGACTATTAGCTGAATATTATACTTCAAACAGAAACAGGCAGTCATCAGGAAGAGAAAATGAAATGCCCAAGAAAAAGGTGCAGTGCAGTTGGGTGCCAAGGAAAATGGGATGTTGGACAGGATATGCAGCAAGACAACAGCAGCTTAACAATATAATTGGCTTGAAGAGAACAACAAAAATGCTTAAATTAAATTTTTTTTCAATTTTTTTTTTGAGATGATAATTTAAAAAGTTATCCCCCAAGCTGGGAATAATGATGGTTCAATTGGTAAAGTGCTTGCCACAATTCTTAACTCCCACTTCTGACATCTATGAAAAGCATACTTTCCTAGAGTTAAACTAAATACAATTTTAACACATAGATTTTTTTTTCTTCCCAAGGTAGGATTTCTCTGTGTAGCTCTGGCTGGAAATCACTGGTAGAGCAGACTGGCCTCGAACTTACAGAGATACAACTACTTCTTTCTTCCTGAATGCTGGGATTAAAGGCGAGTACCACTACTGTCTGGTTTTCCACATTGATTTTTAAAAGTATCCAACATTACTTTTTCTTCTTGGGCACAGGCAAAACTACACACAGTACACTGTAGACAATTTTACTTTACTCACCTGCCTAGAGCCTGATTTAGGGCTCTGTATGCTTGAATTTCATACCATTGACGGCCAGGCAAAAGGCCTCTTAATTTTGAGTGGTGGTCATTGTATTGTCGTTTCAATTCAACCTAATAATTTAAATATTAAAAATGTAGTGAGTAAGAAAGCTTATTTAAACATCATATGAATATCTAACATTTTAAATTTTATTTAGAGTATTTTGTTTTTCAGTTCTGAGTTTTTTCAGTTTATTCAAGTCTTATTCATTCTTACATTTCCACAATTCTCTCATGTGTATCATTATTTGTGTGACAACATTTCCATAAAATGAAATTCACATGTTCTCAGTGTATAACATAAGTTCTAGCAAATGTAACCATCAGGTTATTATAATATAGATCATTTCCTTCTTAAACTCCTGGCTGTAACAGCCACAGACTTGCTTGTTTTTGCCTTTTCTGAAATTTCATGTTAAGTGTTATTAGATATTCTGTACCCATTTGTCTGTACTGACTTCACAGCATATTATTTTGGGAATTCATCCATATCAAAGTACATAAATGAAACACATATATATTCCATTTATTTATACATGCTGCGTGTGTGTGGTTTGAAAGAGAACAACCCCCATAGGCTCATATATTTGAATGCTTCCTCACCAGGGAGTAGAACTGTTTGAAAGGTTTAGAAGGATTAGGAGGTATGGCCTTGTTGAAGTAGGTGAGGCTTTGTTGGAGGAACTATATCACTGGGGGTGGGCTTTGAGGTTTCAAAAGCCCATGCCAGGCCCAATCTCATTCTGCTTGTGGATCAGGATGTAACTCTCAGCTACTTCTCCAGTACCATGGCTGACTGCTGCCATGTTCTGTTCCCTGCCATGATGATAATGGACTAAGCCTCTGAAACTATAAGCAAACCCACAGTTAAATGTTTCTTTTATTAAAGGTTATGGTCTCTTCACACCAGTAGAACAGTGACTAATAAACACACACACCTAGCTCACTTTTTGGTATTTTTTTCCAGTCTCACGATCCTTGATTATTGAATGGAATGGTTATTCCATTTATATTTAATGTAGTTATGGTGATAATCAGGTTTAAGACTGACATACTGCTATTTTTCCTATTGTCCCATCTAGAATTCTTTTTTTTTTTGGTATCAATTTTTTTTTTTTTCCTAGAGAGGCCACCGGCTCTGTCATTACAATGAGCAAGTACGTGATGGAGAGATGGGTGATAAAAAGAAGTAGAATGATTTGTGCATTATGAAGAGAGGCGGAACTTGAGGTCTGGTTGGTGACGAACAGCCTGATATGAGCGGCCTGTGCTGCCACCTGAGGCTATGGTGATGTCTAGGCCTCAGGCATCCATGGCTGAGTTGCCATCTGTGAGGATATGTTGGTATCCAAGTGCCATGCTGAGCTGGCCCAATCCCTCACTAGGGCTATGTGGGAGAGCTGGCCCTGATGCTGTGAACAGGGGAGAGCTGGCCTTGGTGGCACTGGTGTGGGAGAGATGACCAACTCAGCTACCACCCAAGCTCAGATCCAGGGTCTTGAGCTGGTCCACCCCAAAATCTACCCTGACTATGAGCTTCTGAAGCTTGTGAAGGGGCTGGTCCTGTAGAACCAAAGCTGCAGGACCTCCATGACTTGGCAATAGCAGGATAACCGAGAGGAGTCTCGGTGAGGGTCCCGTAACAATGGTATAGCAGAAGCAGACCAATGACTCACTGCAATGAACATTTGCAGGTAAAGCTATTTGAACAAAAGGATATATTGTGTGATACACAGTGAGACACTGCAGCTTCCACAGCAAGAATTTTTTTGTTGTTTGGTCTTAATTTAATTTTTATTTTTTATTTTTGTGGGAAGGTTACAAGGGTGGAAAGCAGATATAGAAGGACTGGGAAATGAGTGTGATTGGAGTACATGATGTGAAATTCACAAAGACTCAATAAAAATTTTTAAGAAAAAATTTTTTCCTAGTGTTTCCATCTTTAATTTCTTCCCTTTTTAAAATTTATTTTATGTGTATGATTATTTGCAGTATCCCTGGAGGCCATAAGAGGGCATTCAATTCCCTGGAACTGGAGTTACAGATGTTGTAAACCATCACGTCAGGGCTGAGAATAGAACCCAGGTACTCTGGAAGAGCAGTCAGTGAGCTTAACTGCTGAGCCATTTTTCCAGCCTCTAGTGGTTCCATTTTTGTTTTTAGATATTGCTCTAGAGTTTACAACATATATCTTAACAACACAACTTACCTTAAAATAGTATTATACTACTTTACAAATGGCATAAGAACATACTACAATTTAATTTTTTCACAAATTTTATGCCATTTTAGTTTTTTAAAATTTTAGTATATGTTTTGGTTTACATGAAAGTAAAAACAAAAACAAAAACAGCCAGGTGGTGGTGGCACTCACCTTTAATCCCAGCACTCAGAAGGCAGAGGCAGGGGGATCTCTTCGAGTTCAAGGGCAGCCTGGTTTACAGAGTGAGTTCCAGGACTGCCTGCATAGCTACTGAGAAACCCTGTCTCAAAAAACAAACAAACAAACAAAAAAACAGAAAAAAAAGTACAGAAGTTTCATATGCTTTTTACTAAATTTTCCCCAATGTTAACTCATTATATTACTGTGGCACATACTTCAAATTCAGACACTAGAATTGGAATAGTACTTTATGTGCTTTTCTCAAATTTTTACCTTTGCAGTAATAAATATCTCTTTTTTCTAACTGTGTAGATTATTTACTCACAGATTTGTGGTTTCTGGCACTTCTTGTTCTCATCTATGGATTTAAGTTTCCAAATCACAACAAAGCAGAGAATGTCATGTGTGTGAAGATGCCATGAGGAAATCTACTGCTTTGTGTGCTAGATTACTTTAAAAAGGATTCTGCCCAGGAGTGGTGGCAAACCCCCTCAATCTCAGCATTAGGGAGGCAAGGGCAGACTGCTATCTGTGAGTTCCTGTTGTGAAACCCTGTCAATAGATGATAAGATAGATAGACAGATAGATAGATAGATAGATAGATAGATAGATAGATAGATAGATAGATAGATATAGATGATAGATAGAAAGATTTGCAGGGAGAACCACTACTTAATACAGGTTTGTGGGTAATTCATTTTAGCCAGCCTTCCTTGGGGGATGGGGGTTGATGACACAAGGTCCTTCAATATGTAGCCCAGGCTGGTCTCAACTCATGATCTTTTTGCCTTAGCCTCCTGAGTGTTGGGATTATAACTACATCTTCATTTTTGAGTGAAGAACTCCAAGTTGACATATTTTCTTTCAGTATGTTAAGACAGAACTAAGTTATCCTTACTGGCACAGGTTTAGATAGAAGTCCGGGGTTCTTCTTGCCCTCCCTATGACCTCTCGTTATTTTCTGACTTTGTGTTGAATTGCAGTGCACCTGTTTGTTTGTATCTTCTGCATGAGTGCAGGCCTGGAGGATCAGTGGGCTTATGGTTTCCTTTACATTTGGAAAATGTTTAACTATTACTTTAATTCTTTTTCTGCTTCCACCCTGTCTCTACTTCTTGGACTTTAACTGCACAGTTATTTAGCCACTTTATATTATTCTACAATGGCACTAGAGCCCTGTTCAGTTATTCTAGTTTTTTTCACACTATACTTCATTTTCAGTAATTTTTACTTCTGTGTTCATGCTCACACATCTCTCTAAGATGGTACCTGACTGACCCAGCACATCTTTTATCACAATATATTTTTCCATATCTGGACATGTCACAGAAGTACTTAATTTTTATTTCTCTTTCCATCATGGTCATGCTTTTCTCCATCTTCTTTGGCTATATGAAACAAAACGTAAGATATTTTAAGTCCTTATCTGCTTGCTTTTACATGTCATTTATGGTTTTGTTTCTCTAGTGTTACATTTTCCCTACACTAGACGCTGTATTTTTCTCTTTCAAGTCTGCTAATTTCTGATTGGATATTAGACATTGTGACTATTACATTAATGGTTATGAACTTTTGTTACAGCAATTTCCATAGTGCTGTGTTTTCTTAGGTTCAGACAGGTGACTTGGAACCAGCTGATTCTTTTGAGGCTTGTTTTCAAATGCAATGAAAACAGCTCCAGAGCAGCTCATGGTCTAGGGCTAATTATTTCCAGAAAAAAAAAAAAAAAAGGTGAAACTTTTTTATGTTCTACGCCCCATGTGTTATGAGCTGCCCTCCAACCCATGGCTAGTGAGAGCACAAACCAGTCCAGCATTTTATAAGGTTAAAGAATTGTCCACCTACTCCTTCCCTGACTTCAGGAGGTTCCACTCATGTCTGTGCCAACCACTATCCCTTTAAAGGTTCAAGGTGGTTCCTTTGCAGATATGTGGTGCTTTCTCCCTGCACAGTTCCATCCTCCCTGGAGCTGTGCCTTGCAAATCCTCATAGCAATGAGACATTTCACATCAGTGAGATCACTAGGCTCTGGCTTTATTCTTCCTACACTGTGTTCTGTGACCAGGGACTGCGGGGCTCATTTTCTTTTCTTTTTTTCATTTTTCCAGACAGGTTTTCTCTGTGTAGCCCTGGCTGTCCTGGAATTTGATTTGTAGACCAGGCTGGCCTCGAACTCACAGAGATCTGCCTCCTGAATGCTAGGATTAAAGGTGTAGTGTTGAATACCTAAAAGCAGTGTTTCACCATAACATTCGCTTTCCTAGTTCTTTTAAGCAGGTGGGCATACCTGGTGTGTTATTCCCTTGAGACTGAATTTTATATTAAAAAATTAAAGAAAGATTTGCCTATACGCCAGGAGAATTGTTTAATACGTCTCCATTGTGAAACCCTGAAAGTGTCCTACCCACCTTGCCCACTATGTAAACTGCGCAGGGTTGGTAACTTTGCCATCTGAATCCTTTCACCACAGATGAAGACACTCTGGTTAGAAGAGTTATTCTTTCTAGGATAGGAATTCAGACTCCAGTCTGTATATCACTAGGGGCCTAAAAGACTTCTGCAGTGTTGAAAGCTTTGAGTTACCAGAGTTCAGAGCTTCTACCCCACTGCACACCATCATCAACAATATAGTCATTTCTTTAAGTTACGTTGTTAGGAAAGTTTTACTGAATGGGATAAAATAACTCCA